AATGAGATCAACTGGAGTATTCAAAATAAGTTCCATCATAACAGCAAATTTTGATTTCAATTTGATCTTTAGCTTTGCTCGGGTGGTCCCCAGTTCATGAGTTGATGGGTCGATAGGTAGGCTCCAGGTGTGGGAGCTGCCTCCCTAGCATCGGTAGCATTGGTTTTCAGCACGGAAAACAAGATCGACAGAAAACAAATCAAGGAAAAAAAGCAAAACCAAAATCCAAAGAACATTATGAAGATCATTGATTTCCTGGAAAAGATTATGAGAAGTCTGGTAACAAGTAAAAATATGTGGTCATCGAGATTTCAATTGTTGTATGGTTGGAGATCTTCAGAATAATACCCAATACACTTGAAGCCTTGAAAACAGCAATATCAAGAGGATTTTATAGCTATTTGTTCAAGATTTCAATTTGATCAGGCACCATTATAAAGACCGTTTACTACACACCTGGTATTTCTCAAGATACCAGGTTGCTCACAAATTACTCAATAGACCTTCAGGTTATCGTAAATCTGCAAAATTTACCCATGATGTTTTGTTTTAGACTCTAGCCTGATCAAGTATCATTCTGAACATTTTCAACTGCTCATCAATGCAATTCACATCACCCCTCATCAATGCAATTCACATCACATGATTTTGAAGATCTTCATCTGGCCAACATATCAAGAGATGAAATTCTCATTTCAAAACTCATATTCTCTCAATTATCAGGTTGCTTAGAATTTATTCAGAAGACCCACAGATTATCAGATATCTCTAAAAGTCCTCAAATATTTGTTCATGAGTTCAGCTTGATCAGGTATCATTCTGAAAATCTTCATCTGTCCAACAATTCAAATCGCATCTCTCACTTATTCTCTCCTCATACCAGGTTGGTCAAAAATTACTGCAAAGACCTCCAGATGATCGAAGATATCCAAAATTCCACTGCCCAACAATTCAAATCATGTCTCCCATGCATTTTTCAAGATACTAGGTTGCTCAGAAATTATTCAAAAGACCTGCAAGTGATCATAGATCTCCAAAATATTCTGAAGATCAGAGTTGGTTGGAAATGCTGTCTTTTTTTTTTTTTTTTTCTTTGGTTTGTTTTTTCCGTCGATCTTGTTTTCCGTGCTGAGCACCAATGCTACCGACGTGCCAGGAAGGCAGCTCCCACACCTGGACCCTACCTATCGACCCATCGACTCATGAACCGGGGACCAACGGCTTTACTTCCCATCCGAAGGAAGGCGTGATCAGAGATGTTATGCCTCAGAACATCCCGGCGGCGCCGACTGGTATTGAACCCAGGCCTGCTGGGGTGAGAGGTAATCACGCTTACCACTACACCACCGGCGCCGTTAAAATGCTATCTAACATGAAGCTTTAGTGTGATAATTTATTAGCTAGACAATGATCTTAGAAGAGGGTATGTGGATAGTTCCGTTAGAGTACGGCAGTATGAAAATTGAATAGAAGTTGAAAAGGTAGTTATGAAACGACGCTAGAACTAGTCCAAAGGTGGGCGCACACTTTTTGCCTGTGGATTTGAAGGCATAATTCAAATCTCCGCGTACATCGTACGAGTTAGGCAAAAGGTGTGCGTTTGACTTTGTGCTGTTGCATTAATGGCCCATCGGTCATTTTCAACTTCTTTTCAATTTTCATACTGCCGTACTCTAACGGAACTATTCACCTACCCTCTTCTAAGATCATTATCTATCTAATAAATTAACTCCCCAAACCTTCATGTTAGATAGCATTTCCAACCAACTCTGAAAATTGCAAAACTTCGCGTATGAAGTAACATAAAAACACTTTGAATTCTGAAGATATTTGCTTAAGACTTCAGCTTGATCAGGTATCATTCTAAAGATCTTCAACCGCCAATCAATTCAAATCACATCTCCTAGTTATTTTCTCATATACCTTTATTAATTATCAAAAATTCTTCAGTTGATCAAAGATCTCCAAAAAGTCCGTACAATATTTGTATAAGAGTTCAGCTTGATCAGACATCATAATCTTCATCTGCCCAACATTTCAAATCACTTCTTTTCGATATTCTCTCAAATAGCAGGTTTCCCAAGTAACATTGCAAGTTTTATCGAGGTTTTAAAGCATGCGACAAGTATAAATCATGGTCTACAGAACCCTCATAAAACCAAAATTGTTACTTGGGTTTCTCTTCCAGTTGATTATCGTTCTCAAAAAATCCCCAAGATGTTTGGTTTGAACTTCAGGTTGATCACGTATCATTATGAACATTTTCAACTGCTCATCAATTCAAATCATATCACCGTATCATATTTTTTCAAAAAAAAAAACATTTCCCAGATATTCTCTCAAATTCCAGGGTTCTGGAAAATTATTTCGAAGACCTTTAAGTGATTGCAAATTTTATAAAATTTCTCAGGATGTTTGTTAAAATTTTCATAGTGATCATGTATGATTTTGAAGATCTTTTTCTGCCGAACATTTCAAATGGCAGGTTGCTCATCAATTTCTCAGAAGACTTCCAGGTGGTCAGACATCTTCCTAAGTTCTCAAATATTTGTTCATGATTTCTGTAAATCTTTTACTGTTCAACAATTTATATCGCATCTCCCAGTTATTCTCTCATCATACCAGGTTGGTCAGAAATTATTCAAAAGACCTCCAAAATTCATAGATCTCCAAAATATCCTCAAGATATTTATATAAGACTTCAACTTGATCATTCTGAAGATCACAAACTGCCCAAAAATTAAAATCATATCTCCCAGTTATTTTCTCATATACCTGATTGCTCAGAAATTATTCGAAAAATATCCAGGTATCCCCTTACAATCCTCTAAATAAATGCAATTATTAATCTCGAGTAAACCGCGAGTATTCGGCCCCAATTATACTAACTTTAGTGGTATAAAAATATTATCAAAAATAACATGTAAAGTAATTTGGCTCCGCAAAGCTACCACATTTGAGCCTTGACAAATAAATCTATATATACATATATAAAAATGAATTTCTGTCTGTCTGTCTGACCCTTATAAACTAGGAAACTACTTAACCGATCGATGTGAACATTTGTATGCAGGGGTTTTTGGGGCCGGGAAAGGTTCTTATGATGGTTTGAGACCTTTCCTCCTTCTGTAGGGGGGGGGGGGGGGGCTCACATACAAATGAAACAGAAATTTCTGCATAACTAGATAATTGATCAAGCAAATGGAACCAAATTTGGTATGTGGAGGTATAAGGAGATGGTAATAGGGGATAGCCCCTTAGAAAAGAGGGGGGGGGGGGCTACGTACAATATTGTATGCTTTTTTTAAATCGGCGCATAAAGTCATGCTAATATTGAATCGCGAGCAAGGCCGGGCACAATCAGCTAGTAGATTATAAAAGAAACATTACCGATTTATGCGATATTTTGGTTAAATTTACATGAAAGTCGTGTAAAATTGCCGCAAGTCTAACGTTTATGATGTGTGTGCTATATATCAAAATTTAAATGATTTTTTCATATGGTTTTGAAAGCCTCAAAATGTTTTTTTTTTTCAATATTTCAGCTTGATCAGGTATCATTCTAAAGATATCCAAATATTCCATAATCCATATCGCATCTATCAAATTTTCTCCCATATAGAACACGGCAGTTTAGAAATTATTCCAAAGCTCATCATGTGTTTTAAGATCTGCATTAAGTCGTCTGAATTTTTTTTGACATCTTAATAGTTGATCAGGTACTATTGTTCTGAAGATCTCAAACTATTCATCCATTCAAATCAATTTTCTCGGATATTCTCTCATGATGCTAGGTGGCTCCGAAAATATTTCAAAGACCATCAGGTGAGATCAGAGATATATGTTTTCTAGGCTTCTGGTTGATCAATTTTGTACTGAAAATTTGCAACTATGCCAGAATTCAAATCTACTAAGCAATGAGTCACTTGGTATGGTTATTCACAGCCTACCTTAGGATGCCTTCGTCATCTTACCTTTCTATATCACTTTGTTTATCTCCACCAAGCACAAATTGGCTCAAAATGTTTAAAATGCATCATTGGTTATTGCATTTACTCTATGCTTCTTGTTTATAACTTACTCAAATCCAATACTACAGTAAAATAATAAGGCTCCGGATATTAAAGCCCGACCTGCAATTCACTTGTTTCGATATTGAAATGTTGGGAACTGCATGTCGAAGCAACCAACTCTTAGCAAATTTTATTATGAACATTCGGGTAAACAATCAAAAACACATTATAAAATAATACAAATTTTGAACAAGAAAGACAAAAACCCAACTGGTAAAACTTTTCATCATGCATCGCTAGAGACACTCTTTGCACGCCTATGGATAAAAAAGTCAAGCCCGTAAATTAATGATTACATAAAGCGCTCCCCAACCGTTCAGGCTATTCTAAGCACAGCAGATTCCTTGATTGCAACAGAATCGAAGGCCCATCGAGTGTGTTGCATCAATACATCAATTCGCGCAATCAGCAGCTACTCAGCTGTTCAAAAGTGGGTACTCTCTGTATGCAGGCAGCATCATTGACAGGCACCGACGACGTGTGGCATTCATTCGCACAACCATCCAACCAGATGACCAGCTGGCCCCGCGGTGGTGATGATGTTTCTCAGATGTAACACGGTCCCGGACAGCACAGTGTCAATGCTAATTGTTTGCCAAGAAACAAGCTGCCAAACAAAGCGCGAATTCTCATCAAAACACAAGCGCGCACGACGAAGCGACAAACGGCGATTTTCAATGATTATGCACTTTTCTGAACACATGACCTCACGGCGACGGCGGCGGCATAATCAAACCGTTGAGCCGCTGGCTGTCGCCATTGCGAAGTTTTTCCATTTTCAATAACACACTACTCGAAACAATTGACATGTTTAAGCGTAGACAGGCGGCACCAGGTTTTGGCTAACACTCACTGTGACCCTGGTGGGATGCTATCAATCAAAGCTTCAACAAACCATGACATTCTTCGCCACTTCCAGCAACTTACGAGAATTGATAATTTTCTGCAACTTCCGAAGATTCACTTTTTCTCTGTTTTAATATATCAACTGCAAACTGCCACTATTCAATTCACTGGCATTCACTTTACTAAGCTGAGAGAACCACTGACTGCATGCAAGCAAGTGTTGACAAGCCAATCCGACGTTATCGTTCTTCTCCAAAAAACTCCTAAGTCAAAAATCCACACGGCGTCGTGAGCCACTCGAAATGTGCGCGCGTGATAAACCCGGTGACGACAAAAATCGTACTAAAAGTTTCAAAACAGAGGAAACGTATTAAAGTTTGTTGTGATTTTGCAGCTTCGCTTTTCTCGCTGCGGCGGATCACTTGCAGCGGGGAGCCTCGGGATCGACCGCGCGAGAGCGAGAGCCATCATCACAGAGAGACATGGGGTCGGAGGTCCCCGGCCAGCCGGGAGAAGGTCCCCTTGATGGAGATAGAGAGCTTGCCGTGTTCGCTTCTTTCTCTTTTAAAATTAGGGGAGCTCTCGTGTTTGGCTGGATTTTGGCTGATATCAGAGTGGGTGCCGTGCTGACGGTGGACCGGCTCAGTGTGGATGACCAGCGAGCACAACCGGTCACTCACTCTCAATCAGGAGCGCGTGTTTGCACGTAATGCGTATTTCAGAGAAGCGCGTGGACAGATCGTTGACCATGTGCGAGCATGGACGTCGACGAGAGCGAGAGTGCTCGGTGATATTATGTCACTTTATTGGTATCTACCGGGTGTTCGCCTTTGCTGGAAACGTAATATCGCGGCAATATTATGTTGACGCCGAGGAACTGGAAGAGAGCACATATGACGATGGGTCGGTGATATGTACGCAATTTGATCTCTCTGAGAAACCTGAGCTTACAGAGCCACACACGGTTGATCGTTGCTTGTTGAGTGACCGTTGAGGGGTACGATCAGTTGGTTAACTTGTATGCAAGTTTTAATTACTATGCGTCTCCGAATCAACGTGTTTCATTGTTGTTTTACATCAACAGGCTGGATGAAGCCCCAATGATGTTAACTTTATCAACTATAGTAAAAAAAAAATACATTCAAGTATGGTCACAACATTAAAAAACATATATTTTAAAGTCAGTTACTCCTGCCGGCGAAAAACAGAAGAAAACTTTCGACGAAGCGCATCACGGGAGAGATGAAAGTCGAAAACATATGCAACTCTGTAGTCCGCAAATCGCACCGTATGCTCCATATTTTGTGCGACGTAGAGGCAGTCTTAGTATAAGGTTATTACAAAGCGGCCGGGGTTGAACATTCAGGTCAATTTGCCTCAGGATAGCCTCTCAATCTGTCCTTCCTTGCAGGATATCGGCCACGGTTAGGACTCTGCTTGCGTCTCTTCTAGTCCCAAGAAGTGATAATGGCTTTCATAACTAGGTAATCGAGATCATTCCAAGGAAATCTACGCAACGCAAAACGAAGAAAGCGATGTTGAACAGATTCAATTCTCTCGGCACCGTTGGTGTAGTTTGGGTTCCAAACCGCTGAACAATACTCAAGCGTCGTTTGAACAAGCAAACAATAGAGAGATTTTAGACAGTAGATATCAGTGAAATTTGTAACATGTGCAATGTGTTGCTTGAGTGAAATATGCGAATCTAAGATCACACCCAAGCCTTTCACCTGATGCACGCGTTCGATTGGCAAGCCAAGCAGGTCATAACTAAATATTATCGGTTGTTGTTTTCGTGAGAACGTAATAGCGGAGAATTTGGCTGGGTTCACTACCATTCTGTTTAACCTGCACCAACTAGCGAAAACATTCAGCTGACGTTGAAGAAAGTGCAGATTTTGAGGTCATCTGCATATGATAACCGAGGAGCTTCGATGACCAGATGCACGTCGTTGAAGTACAGTATAAAAATTAACGGTCCCATGTGGCTTCCCTGAGGTATGCCTGATGTGGCGAAGAAGCTAGCTGATCTGCAATCTCATATGGCAACCTTTAGTTGCCGATCGGTAAGATATGATCGAAACCAACTCAGAAGATTACCGCATACACCGAGCTTGCCGAGTTTAGCAATTGCAATAGCATGGTTCAACTTGTCGAATGCTGCGGATAGGTCTGAATAAATAACGTCCGTTTGAACCCGATCCGACATGCTTTCGGTTATATCCCAAGTAACATTTTAGATGCCTTGTTGGAAACTTGAAAAGCATTCACGACTGACTCACTGGTACATGTAATTCAGCCTCACATAATGTAGTTCAGAGGAAACGTGCGAAACTTCGTAAATCTTCTCAATGCTGCTCTCTTGATTGACTTCAGCCTACGTAGCTCTCTCGTCTGCCAGGGAGGGTGAGACACTTTGTGGTGAGTTCTTTTCGGGACATGTGAAAAGGTTTGCGCTGCAGCCTCGACGTCATCTGAATCAAGGATGTTCTCCCATACCATGCTAGACAGTACATCTATGATGCTACGGTGGTCAGTTTTAAAGAAATCATAAGAAACCGTAGCAGGATAATTGTCGAAATCACGGAGTTTGTCCTCAACAAAGACAATTAGAGGAGGGTGATGTGGAACTAGCTTAGTTAGTGCACAAGGAGCCGAGGAAATTAATGGAGCCCTGTCCTGTGTGCTCACGAAGCAGAGGTCCAAACTACGATCATTTTCGTTAACTACATGGTTAATTTGAGAAAACGTCGCAGCGCTGTAGTTGTCGAGAAGGCTTATAGCTCCTGCGTGAAATGTAGAGCTATCAGAATCTGGGTAGAGGAATCGGCTATGAGATGGACTCCACGAAACGCCTGGCAGATTGAAGTCACAAAAAATGAATATCTCATCAACTGGAGTGGCACTTTCTATAACTGTGAAAACTGACCGACAGTGAGTATCGATAATGAACTCATCGAATCCCGGAGTCGATCAGGTGGAATGTACAGAGCGCATAGAAATAGTGTGCGATCACCCAGATTGATGGCTGTCCAAACCTGCTCCACATAGTTTCATGAGTCGTTCTCGATGGCCTTTGCCTCCAACCCGCCACGGACAGCTACAAGGACACCTCCACCTGTAGATTTACGGCTGTTGTTAGGATTCCGATCGCAACGAAAGACCTCGTAGTCAGGACCGAAGACTTGACTGGAAAGCGGTCGATAATCGAGCCGTGTTTCGCACAGGACAATTACATTATAGAAACAATCCGATTCAGCTAGGCGGTACTCTTCATCATTAGAATTCATTCCCCCGGCCTTTTGGTAGAAGATCACGACGTCCTGCTTGCGGCAAAGAATCGAACGACTGCTTTCCCTGGAAATCACAGATCCATCAGGCAATAACTGACCATCATCAAGTCTCATTGGATACTCGCCATAGTGAGTACGTTGGAAGACCCCCTTTCCACATCCGACAACAGGTCCGGAACGACTATGATGAACGAAGGCTGCTAATGGCAGGACTGAGACGGAGGGATTGGGGGCTTCCATGGGGCTTTCTACGGCGCGTTCCGGGTTCCCAGGATTGAGAGTTTTAGAGGCATCATCACAATGACTAACACAGTTCGAATTGCTGAAAATTTGATCGGCATCAGGCAGTTAATAGTCAATATATTGATTGTACTTGCCTGTAGAGGCAAGGTGAAAGACTCCTGATTAATATCCAGCCACAGGTCCAGGACGACTATGCTGAACGCTGGCAGGAATCGGCACGACTGGGCTGGAGGAACCAGAAGCTTCCAAAGAGCAGTCTATTGTGCGTCCCGGAGATGAATTAGGATTGTTCGAACAGTAAAGCGGATGTTGTGAATGAGCAGTATCAGAAGTGCTTCTTAACTGGAAATAGCCGGCAGATGCTTAAGTCATTGCACTGGAACAAGGAAGCTGATCAAGGAAATTACTGTAACTAATGTATGCATACTTGCCTGAAAACGATGGTTGGGAGACCCCACCACCGAACTCGACCGCAGGTCCAGAACGATCAACGGAAATAGAAAGACTTTTATGGCGGGAAACAGTTAGCGCGACAGTGCACACAGCACAGCCCTGTGCTTAGGCAGTGCGTTCTGGTTTACAGCGTTCCAATTCACAACGCGGCATCCAATTTTGAATCAGCATACTGGGTCTAGTCCGGAGATGGGAGTTGAGAAGTCGGAAGGTCCCGGAACAGGAGAGATCGTGTTATGATTCTTATCATGTATTGTTCAATCAGTCCGCATCGTGCTCTCTTGCCGTACGGATCTATTTGCTTTTTGCTGAAGGAAGTGTTACTACTACCTAAAGCTACAACAAATTTAAACAGCACTTTTCAGTGCTCAATCTGTAAAAAAAAAATCTACCTTGTTCAACTATTATTCCTCTTCGATCCTTGTTTGAACCCTACCCGAGGTAATCCTTCTTGGATATCGATTTGGAAAATTCCTCTTCGATCCTTCAGATTCTTATAGTAATCTGCTTGGAAGTCAATTTGGATTAAAATTTACTGCCGCCATGGCACCTAAACGCAAAAGAAAGGGGCAAACTCTTGACCCCCCTTCTGATGAAATTAATTTGAGTAATCAATTTGATTTGCTCACAGATGATGAGAATGATCCATCATCCAAGAAAAATTCTAGTAAACTTTCCCGGCTTAATGCTAAGAAGGAAAAGATTCCCCCTATTGTGATAACCACTTCCGATTTCCATGCTCTTCGCATGGAACTTTTGAATTTCGTGAAAGTTAAGTTTTCACTGCAAATTGGACGTCGGGCTGAAAACTTGGACGGATTTAAATGTCTTCTCAAATATCTTACTGAGAAGCAGCATAAATTGTTTACTTACGATACTAAAACTGAACGTGCGTTCAAGGTTGTCATGAAAGGACTTCCCAGTGGTGAATCCCTGGATCAGATCAAAGATGAACTGGCAAAATTACTTGGAGTTGTGCCACTCCAAGTAATCAAAATGAAAATGAAATCCCGTCCTGGCGATTCACACAACGGGATTTCTAATAATTTTTATTTAGTTCACTTCAAGTCTAGTGAACTAAACAACCTTAAGGCCTTAGAAAAAGCTAGCCTTATGCTCCATGTCCGAGTGAAGTGGGAACACTTCAGGAAGACTGGAGGAAATTTCCAAAACCTCACTCAGTGCCGTAAGTGCCAGGGATGGGGTCACGGATCTATAAATTGCTACATGCCAGCTAAATGCATGAATTGTGGTGATTCCTCTCACGCAAAGGACGACTGTCATTTGAAGAAAGATCCTAAGAAATTTAAATGTTCAAATTGTGGTG